ACCTAAGGTGAGACTTTTATATGGGTTTTCACCAGATAAATTCTACTAAAAAGTAAATACCATAATTTAATTAAAATTCAAACTGAAATCTAGACTTATCTAAATCCCAAACCCAAATTAATAATAATATAATCCTAAGGATAAAAATAAAATATTAATTAAATTTAATTAATCTTCCTTTTTTTGGCCAATTGGACTACAACTGTTCCTTTAGTGTAATTCCTCTTCTTGTTGCAAGTCATCCAAAAAAAACATGTGAAAAATAAGGCAAAAATGTTCCCTTGTTGCATAAGGACTAAACCTGCACGGGCAAGCCTCCGGGTTTCCCTTGCCACAGGTTGTGATGCATTAAGACTTTCTCTTTTGTTCTTTGCTTCATGTAGAATCCTTGAGGATGAATATTATTATACATAAATGATTAAATTAATAAAAAAATATTTTGGAAGAAGACTTATGGTGCATTTAAACCTCTTCTGTGTGAGTTAAACTCCTCCTCTCATGTGTTAATCTTCTAACATGATCTTTTATGTCGTAGGACGCCTTTTTCCTTCAAGCTTCATCCTATTCTCATCTAGATCCTCTTGCCACAAGTTAAAGTAAAAAACAACTCAAAAATTCCACCTGAAAAAGTAGGAATCGATGAAGATGACCCTCATGTGTGACATCCCAAATGCTAATTAAGGCATAAGGGTGCTAGATACGAAACAGATTAGAGTGCATGATAAAAATTGTATGCAGTGGAGCAAATTATAATAAATCCTTTACCAAAATATATGAATTCTAATTACACATATATAATTGAGGCCAGAAGTAGTAACAAAATACAAAATATCAAAATAAAAAATGATCACTTCTTTCACTATGCGAATGGACTCATCAGAGTGCGGGACAAGTCATGCACTCAAGGTTTGTGGATCTTTTGGGATCTTCATAGACTTCAAGGGGAAGTTCAGCGATCGGTTCCTCATTATTTTCTTCATCTGGGGGGCATGGAAGTAGGTGAGTTCCATATTCTCAGTAAGAAAAATAGTATCTAAAAAAAATCATAAGATTTTTAATAGTGAAATAATTATATCATCAGTACTTACCATCGGATCACGTCAGATGTGAGAGTCTTTTCTTACTTTTTTGAAAAATAATTTTATTTTATTAAAAAAATATTCAA